CTGCTGATGTGGTTGCCTGCTGTCTGCCTCTGCTGCTGCTGCTGCCTGCCTGCTGCCTGCTGCTGCTGCCGGTGTCAGTGACAGTGTCATGATCACACAGAAGCGTCTCATACGGGACCCTCCTCGCTGCTGTGGCCCTCCCCCTCCCCCGATCTGTCAAACGTTGTGCACCGCGCGTATAGCAACGACGTACGATAAAAGGTTGCGCCTGATATAATATCAAGACATATGAGTGTAGGGCCTCCAAATGCGTAATCGCTCCCTAGCCTGCCCTGCCAGACGTACTAGAGTAATATCTATTATATATTATATATATATATATATATATATATATATATTTATATATATATATATATATATATATATATATTATATATATATATATATATATATATATATAATAATATAATAATCTCTATTATGTACTACTTGATATGTACGTACTGGCCGCGCGTCGTCGTCACACATTCCGCGTCAAACATGAGAACGTCGCTGCTCTATGATAGCCGACGTGAGATGCGGTGATATGGGTGTTCTACACGCACAACGGTAGAAGGCGTCCATAGGCAGCAGGCCTGAATAAGCATCGAAACAGAAATTAATTAATACTTAGAGAGTTTCGTCGCATATGCGTGACATACACTTTATTCAAGCTGAATCACTGCAGATTCAAAGACCGATCTTTACTCGTAACATTTGCGAGAATGTTTTTGAGAATTCTCAGCGCGAAGTCGGATCTCGTTTCAAACACAACTCGACAGAGTGCACTCCAAACTCCACGACAGATTGCGCTCTCGCTCTGGCTCAATTCTACCACTGCCACAAGCTGATTTCCGTAAGAATTTCTTACGCTTTTTTACTACAAGTTTTACAGCAGGCACGTTACTCGTATCCTATGTAATAAGATTTGGACTAATAAAAGTTGCAAAGATATTAAAAATCCGACCGTTATTTCATGAGAGATTTGATAAAATAGTGATACGAAATAGTGCGCGGATTGTGCGCCAATTTACCTCTTTCAAATCATACGCTGTTTACGAATCTCTATTCGCTGGATTTCCCCCGAGCTCCGCCCACTTTAAAAATAGTGCTAGCATTGTGCCAGTGATATATTGAGTGTGCGAAGGGGCACTGCATGCAGTTTGAGTGCACTCACGGAGAGTGCATACCTCCGCCAGCATGTAACATGTATGTGTTACCAGCTGGCTGGCTGCGCTTGCTGGATGGCTGGCTCGCTGGCTGACGCGCTAATATCGATCGCGCGAACACACGAACACTAGACTGGTACCCGGTCCCACCTCTCGGCTTAGTTACTCGATGGGGGAATCGAGGTGGGAGCGAGTGCCAGTCTAACGCGAACACACGAGCGCGAAAACAACCTCCAACTCCGTTGGGCGGAGGTAAAAATGGCCGACCGGTCACTATGGCTACGCCTCTTGCTTGACGCAATGGCACAAATAGACGTGAAATGACAGCAAACATTGGTGAACAATTTGCAGAAGGCTACTGTTGTATACCACCTATAGTCAGCTGTTGCTGTAACAGCGTTACCGAGGGAAGTGACCGTTATGACTGGAGGTTATATCCGGAGTAAGTAATCACAGATTTGTAAACAAATATTGATTTGTGATTATTTACTCCTGATTATAATTGAGTGCGGTGCTATGCCCATTTCCTGTAACACAGTCAAGGGTTTATCCTTGTCAATAAGAACGGGAAAGCAGTAGAGTAGGAGAAAAAGGAAAGTCATTCTGGCACGTGTTCTTGGCTGGGTGTGTGAGCACACTATATGAGCTTGAAGTTGTTGAAACTTTTTACATTGTGTTTTGTCATTGGTCTGGATTTTCTATGCTATGAGTAGTGTTATTTCTATTTGTGTGTATCATACAAAGAGTATTAATGTGTGCGTGTCTTACGTTAAGGGTGCAATTTTTCTGTTAAGACGTCTTTCGTTTTCTCAAGCACTTTTTTTTTGGCATGTCATATAGGCAAGCACCTAGTAGATAATTTACAATTTACAAAAAGGCACGTAAAACATTATACAAAAAGCATTTTGAGCTCCTCAATATATTTAAAAGGAGATCTAAAGTGGAATCTACAGTATAACGTATAAACTAAAGTGAACATAAGTAAAGATAGCACTCATCACACTTTATTTAGAAACACTCCCGAGGAAACCCAAACCTTTAATTTGCGAGTCTTTTTCTCTTTTCCGAAATAGTCGCTACTATTTTCGACGGCCGCCGGTGGAAGAAGTGAGGCCATGAGGTGAAGCCAGACAGACTGCACTAACCAAAGAGTCGCTACAGTCTCCATCGTCCTCATGAGGTAAGTGCAGCTCTCTCTCTCTCTTTCTCTCTACGAGTTAACGCGGGGAAACTGCCGTCGCCTTGCGCGGGAAGATCGGGAGCGCAGACGGGCAGCTCTCTCTACGAGTTAACGCGGGAAAACTCCCGTCGTCTTACGCGGGTTATAGACAGAATAGACATTTATAGGCAGAAGATCGAGAGCGCAGACGGGTCAGCTAGCGCAACCGTCTTCGCACCGCGAATCAATTAGAAGCAGGCTGCGAGGAAATTAAAAACGATTAGCGGCGGTTCGGCAGGCTGGCAGGCACGTGCACGTGTGTGTGTGTGTGTGTCTGGCTGCACCGGTTTCCCTTGAAAACGAATCGCACCTCCGTCAGTCCGCCGCGGCATCCCATCTCGTCTCATTTTATCTCATCTTGTCTCGTCTGGTTTCATGTCAGTTTCATGTCATTGCATCTCGTCTCGTCTCGTCTCGTCTCGTCGCGTCTCATCGCGTCTCATCGCGTTTCGTCTCATCGCGTCTCATCGCGTCTCGTCTCATCGCGTCTCGTCTCATCGCGTCTCGTCTCTCAATATTCTCATCTCTCTTCTAGTCTCATCTCGCCTCGTGTCTCGTTTCGCCTGTCGTCTCGTGTGTGCTGATTTCCGCAAGGGTTCGTCTGCCCCGTCGCTGTCAGGTGCCCACGTGCGCTTCGTATAACGAGTTGCGAGTAACATGTGTTTCGTCGGAGATTAGAGCGGTCGTTGCTACTGCTACTGCTGTCGTTATAGTGACGGCTGTGTGAGCGTCGCCTTGGTGAGGCTGCGCTGTGTATCCGCGCAGTACAGATGCTCGGGTTGTTTCCAGGAATAAAATTATAAAATAAATAAAACTCCGATTATATATCGTTAAATCAGCGGCCGGTGTAAAAATAGATAAATATTGATAGTGACGTTGATTGAACGATGTAGAGTTTATTTGCCATCATTTTGTTATTTGATGGTGCAGGATACCTGCGTATGTTGTTGTTGGTACATCTGATATGACGTTGGCGATGTGTTCCTAGACTTATTGGGTATTTATTGTGTCCTATACTTTTAATGTTACGTTTATTCCTATCTGCCATTTATTTTTTAACTGTTTTTTATTTTTATTTTCTTAACATTCTGCTCGTTTTCCTCTTGCCACTGTCAACATTAGAACTCGTCAGAGACAGTTCTAAAGAATAATATAGACTTGCCAATACACGAGAACTAATATGGCTTCTTATGAATAGAAATTCCCGCCCTTCCTCCTAGATTTTTCCCGCGCAGATGTGTGCAGCTGCGTCCACTGATGGCACCGTAGACATGCTCCACGTAAAGCCACACTACCACGCTTAACTTTAAGTAGCTATCGGACAATTTAAAAATAGGAACGGAGTCAACTACTCAGAATCAGATTCACTTTGGTTTGAATTAGACGCACTATTAGACGCACTATTATTTATTGGGGCACTTGTAATTTGTTGGTGCACTACGGTGCAATTTGCAAATTGTCGCTATACTCAAATATGCCATGGTGTTACAGCGTGTTTAATTACAATTTTCTATGCTATAACAGCATAAATTCTTAGTGTTTTTCAAGTTGGTGTAATAAATCAGTGATAATTTATCCGCTATGAGGTGAGACTATATTTCGCTACAGTTTTTTCAGGTTGTGCGTTTTTGAACAATGATTTCGAAATACTGGCTTTAAGTAGCTGCTAAGACGAACGAGACAGAATCGAGTTGAGCATCGTCAAACGTCTGGGCGTGTCCGTTCGAAATCAGCGGCTGCAGCAGCAGACATGTCGCGTTGTTCCGCTTGATTGGACTACAGACACAAGAAGACGGTGGGGGGTTGCGGGGCAGCGGCAACGGCGCGTCTGCTGATGGTGACTGTGCGACGGGATAAGAAGGAGGAGGGGGAGGGGGAAGGAGGAGGAGGAGGGGGCTGTGCTTGCTTCGTGTAGTGGGTATTTCGTACACCCGAATTATGAAAAGTTGCCACTTGTTGGCTCATAAATTGCTGAACGGGCATTTAGCAGGGGGCAGTGTGGGGGGTTTAATAGTCGAATTTGTTATTCGATTCGATTATTTTTCACATTGCTTAATCATCGCGATCTCATTTTTTCGCATTATGTATGACACCATATGAAACCAACGATTCCCGATGTTCGCCTGCTCGCCTGATCAACAAATGGTCAATTCCTTGTCTAATGTAATTCGAGAGCGAGAGCGAGGAAGATGTGTTTATAATAGCGTGCGCGGGGCAGTGAGACCGCCCGCGTATGTACACAGTTTTGATAGTCAGAGCCACCGCCTCTCTCAGCCTTCTTTCACCAGCAGCATCACTGCATGGCTTCGTCATCATTGCTGCCATGATTTATCTGGCCTCTGCCGCTGCCGCCGCACAGCAGCATAGAGGAGGAGGCGCGACCTCCTCATCGCGGGGTTTCCGTGACTGATGCGTGAGGCGTGCTCTGCTGCAGCAGGTGAGGGAGGAGCGGCGGCGCCTCCTCATCGCGGGGGTTTCCGTGAGCTGATGCGGAGGCTGCCGCGCGCAGCAGCAGGTAGAGGGAGGAGGCGGCGGACCTCCTCATCGCGGGGTTCCGTGAGCTGATGTGGAGGCTGCCGCCGCCAGCAGCGTAGGAGGAGGAGGCGGCGGACCTCCCCATCGCGGGGTTCCGTGAGCTGATGTGGAGGCTGCTGGGCGCAGCAGCGTAGAGGGAGGGCGGCGGACCTCCTCATCGCGGGGTTTCCGTGAGCTGATGCGGAGGCTGCCGCCGCACAGCAGCGTAGAGGGAGGAGGCGGCGGACCTCCTCATCGCGGGTTTCCGTGAAGCTGATGCGGAGGCTGCTTCTGTGCCAGCTAGAGGGAGGAGGCGGCGGACCTCTCTCATCGCGGGGTTTCCGTGAGCTGATGCGGAGGGCTGCCGCCGCGCAGCACAGCGTAGAGGCGAGAGAGGCGGCGGACCTCCTCAGTCGCGGTGGTTCCGTGAGCTGGATGTGGAGGCTCCGCCGCGCAGCAGCGTAGAGGGCAGGACGGCGGTGGAACCTCCTCATGCGAGGTTTCCGCTGAAGTCGATGTGGACGGCTGCTGGGCCAGCCAGCGTGAGGGAGGAGGCGGCGGACCCCCTCATCGGGGGTTCCCGGAGCTGATGCGGAGCGCTGCCGCCGCAGCAGCAGCGTAGAGGGAGGAGGCGGCGGACCTCCTCATGCGGGTTTCCGTGAGCATGCGGAGGGCTGCGCGCGCCACAGTCCAGCGTAGAGGGAGGAGGCGGGGACCTCCTCATCGCGGGGTTTCCGTGAGTGATGGCGGAGGCTGCGCAGCGGTCTCTAACGCACTGAGAGCAAACGGAAAGTGAATGGCTAACAGAGCGGCACTGCCGATACCTAGACCGCTCGCCTATTGGAATGCTGTCCAATATGACAACTATAACAATATGATAGATGGCGCTTCATGGGGGGTGGGTTAGCTCTAGAGACCGCTTGACACAGACAATTAATTTTGTTTAATAAAAATTAATTTTGTTTTTATCAAACTTATTATTGGCTGCCTAAGTCGTCTGCCTTGGCTCACGCCAACAACAGATATGCCGATGCGAAATCGGCTATAGGATTCGACTGAGAGCATCGGTTACGAAAATAACGGCGTTGCTATGAAATGCAGTTATGCTAGTAAAGTTTGCAAGGATCCCTTTAATCTCCCGGGCGTCCACTTTCACACGCAATTCTGTGGGTCTCTGCTGCTGTGGCATATGCTTTGAAACGGCAGGCTGGTTAGTTTCTTCAAGCGAACAAACAATGCGACGTATTCTACGTCCATGGCACGCCACATCGCATCAGCTCAATGCACATCGTACGATACAAGTAGTAAAATCTGTAAGCTGATATATTTCAAATATTGAGCATGTTGCAAATAGCATGATAGTGGCTGATGATTTATGTGCACTGAAAAATCGTAGAAAGCCGGTTCCTTTGTGAGATCAAACAGCTAAAACGTCCGTCCTTTCACGGACTCTTAATAAATAACGAAGACTTTATAAATCTGATTAGAAAAGTTGATAGTATACGTATGAAAAGATTGATCACACTGCGTCGACTTTTCGATAGTGTAACCCAGCTTTACTATAACGTAAAAACTATAATAACACGATGAATAACGTGCGCAAGAGGCCTAATAAACATGCATATATTATCATTATGGATGTGTGTGGTGCCTCGCCTCGTGCGTGCGTGCGTGCGTGCTGTGTGTGTGCGTTGCGCGCGCGCGTGTGTGCTGGTGTGTGTGTGTGTGCTGTTGTGTGGGTGCGCGCCGATGTTGTATGCGTGCGTGCAGTTGCTGTGTGTGTTAGTGGTGTTGGTGGGTGTGTTGTGTGCGTGTGTGTGGCGTCGCGTGCGTGTGTGCGCGGCGGCGCTGTGTGTGCCCAGCCCCGTGTGTCGTGTGGTGTAGCGCGCTCGTGTGTGTTATGTGTGCGTAGCGTGCGTGTGTGGTGTGTGGTGCGTCGCGTGCGTGTGTGTATTTGTGCTGCGCGCAGCGTTGTGTGGTGGTGTTGTTGTGTGTGTTGGCGGGACCCCACCACTAGCAGCCGCGTCATGTGCTGTATGTCGTGCGTGCACCATGCGTGTGTGTGTGTTGTGCGTTGCTAGCGTGTGTGTGTGTACCTGTTGTGCGCGCGCGTGTGTGCGTGTGTGTGTTGTGTGGTGTGTCGTGCGATCCGTGTGCTTGCGCGTGTGTGTATGTGTGCGTGCGTTGCCGTGCGTGTGTGTGTGTGTGTGCATGCGTGGTGGTGTGTGTGTGTGATGTGGTGTGTGTGTGCGCGCGCGTGGTGTGTATGTGTGCGTTGCGTGTGTGTGTGTGTGTGGTGTGTGTGTGTGTGGTGTGTGTGCGTTGCGTGCGTGTGTGCGCGCCGGCGTGTGTTGCTGTGTGTCTTGCGTGCGCGCGCGTGGTGTGTATTGTCGTAGCAGTGCGGTGTGGTGTGTTGCGTGCGTGCGTTGCGGTGTGTGTGTGTTCCG